CAGGCTTTCCTGCTAAATACTAACCTTAGCATTGTTACCCAACCCAAACCTGTTGCCCTGAGTCTTTCCTGACTCATAGCGACCCTCCAGAGGGTGTCCAGGGCTGTAAATCTTTACAGGAACAGTCAGCCTCATTTTTCTCCTGAGGATCAGCTGGTAGGTTTGAACCGCCAGCCATGTGGCTAGTAGCCCATGCGTACCCCGCAGCACCACCAGGGCTCCTTAGTAACGCTGACGCACGGCAGCCTTTGCCCAGGCCTGGGCTGTGCTCAGGGTCCCCGGTATGTTTGAGGCTCTTTTTGCAGCTCTGATTCAGGCCCTCCCATCCTCTCCCCTTTCCAGACAGGAGGTCTATGTCTAGGACTGGTCTTTCCTGATGACGTGTCCGAACTAAGCAGGTCAAAGTCTCCCCGAGCTCCCGTCTAAGCAACATGCCAGTTGTATTCCTTTGGAAGCGCATTGGTCATTTTAGCTCATTTCCACACCACCACCTCTCACCGAGGCCGAGGACATTTTCACCTCCATTCTGTGGGTCAGGGGACCGTGACCCGGAAGTGAAATAAATCCATGTCTGGGTCCTGGGTGGCTGTGGGGACTGTCCTTAATGACAGTCCTAGCAGCTCTCCTCAGCTTAGCCTCCGAGCTAGAAGTGACCTTCAAGCGAGGGCTCCTTGGGAGCAGAGAGTGGCGATGGTTACCAACATGGTGAGGTGATGAAGGCCATGGAATTGTGTGACATGTTGAAGAACTGAAGAAAACGGCTCAAGCCTTGAGATGCAATACTAAAAACACTCTATTACGGGGAAAATAGTAAACAATACAGAGAAGTATCAAAAGAACATAGAAGAAATAAATACACAGTCGCTGTACCAGAAAGAACTAGTCAACATCCAACCATTGGCAAGAGGTAGCATCCGAGCAAGAACCAATGGTGCTGAAGGGGAAAGGCTAGCGGCACCTAAGGCATTAGCCAAACAAGGCTCCTGGGATTTCAAAGGCTGATGAAACACTGGAAGCACTCACTGGTCACCCAAGAACTTTGGAAGGCAGCTACCTGGTGAATGAAAACCAGAAAAACCTCATTCAAAAAGAAAGCAGAAGATATTAAAAACTGAAACAACTTTAAAAGGGGTCAAAAGGGAGACCCAATACGAGGTGTTGCATTTTAACCTAACTACGTCTGTCGTGATCGAGTTTACAGAGCTCTCTGTCTGATAGCAAGGCCATCACATCCCTCAGCTGTGGCCAGAGGGGATTCACCGAGGCGTAATCCACGTGAGGACCCTGAGAATGGGTTTGGGGCTCCCACTGCCATCCATAGGTCCACAGCCTTCTGCCAACGGGGTGTTCACAGTTTCAGCTCTGATACCATTCCCTCTTTCAGATTTGGATTTTGTTCTTTGCAATCAATGGATCACAAAGGCTGGTGTGCTTCCTCCATGTGGACTTGGTTGACATTTCATTTAGATGGCTGCTTGTTATAAGACCGGCCTGTAAGACCCCAGACACGGTTTCTTTCTGATAGTCAAACACCATGTTTTCTTCACCCCCCTTTGCTACAGCACCCATATCTTTAATGATCTCTTCATGAGGGCAGGCAAGCATTGATACCTTTGAATTGTGGTGTTGTCCAAGCATCTTGAAAGGACTATGAAATCTAGAAAAGCAACAAAATCTGTCTCGGAAAAAGACACTCCTAAGACATCCTCCTTGAAGCAGAATGGGGAAACTTACTGCACGTACTTTGGACATCTTATCAGGAGGGACCTGTCCCCGGAGAAGGACATTGTGCTTGATGAAGTAGAGAGTTGGTGAAAACGAGGAAGCCCCTCAAGGAGGCCAATTGACACAGTAGCCACCACAATGGGCTCTAACAGAACAGCCGCTGTGAGGACAGCTCAGGCCTGGGCAGCACCTTGTCCTGTTGTCCAGAGGG